ACTGTTATAGAACTTGCTTAGATGTTTCATAAGCAATGCATCATTCATGACCTAAGATTTATGATGCCTAGTCCTCCTTTTCCTTTGACAACATTACGCTTCCCATGCAACTAAGTTCCCACCTTTCTTCTTTTTAATTCCTCTCCAAAGACTTTGTTTCCTTGCCTGTCAATATTCTCAATCACTCCTTGTGGTAGTTTGATGGTGCTCATTGCATAGGTGGTGATAGGTGTAATGGTGAATTCACCATTTCAAGTCTCCCACTATGTGACAACCAAGTAGAGCAGGCTGATAATCTTCTTTCCACCCTATCCATCATAGGAGCTAGGTCCTCAATTTTTGGCTTGGTAGTCCCCATGGGCAAACCAAGATATGTGAAGGGCATTGATCCAATATCACACCCAAAAGTGTTTGCAAGGAGGACCATCTTCTCTGGAGTGACATTGATAGGGTACATTTGGGATTTTCTATAGTTCACCTTTAAACTGTCGATTCAAAGAAAGCTATGGAGTATGGCTTTGAAAAAATAGTTGCCTAGCATCGACTTGTAGCAAAGAAAAAAGTGTCATCAAGATATTGCGCTATAGGAAAATCTTTCTTCGGTTGTGGTAAGGGCTTACATAGCGTGTTCAAAGTTGCGTGCATGGTTGACAATGATCCAAGAAGTTCAATGACCAAAGACAAATAACAATGGTGACAAAGGGTCACCCCGTCGAACCCTCTCTTACATTTATAGAATTTACCAGGATGCCATTTAGAAGCACAAATGAAGAGCCGATGATAGTATATTGTGCACCCACTGAATCCATTTATCAGGCAATCCTAAGTGAGTCATCATCTGAATGATAGTGGAGTGTTCAATTATATCAAATGCCTTCTCAAAATCTAACTTCAATATTATTATCTCTCTTTTTGACTGGTGGCACTGGTGAATATATTCATAACTCTATGCCAGACAATCCTGTATGGTTCTTGATCTGATGAACCCATACTGGTTCTGGTGAACTAATCTCATAATAACTGACTGGAGTCTGTTGGCTAATATCTTTGTTATGAGCTTAATAGAGATATTCATCAATGAAATAGGCCTGAAATCATTCACAGTCTCTGGGCTATCTTTCTTGGGTACCAAGGTGATGTATGATGTATTGATGCTCTCCAGCGCGTGTTTATACTTGATTGACTGGAACTGGAACTAACCGACGCCTGAATAATTATAGTACGTGTGCTAAATTGTTGTTAATACTCCTACAGTACGTAGTCCTGTCCTGCTAGGATTTGCTATAAACAAGTCCATGATGGCGAATCTGGCTCCAGGATACGGTACAAGCATGGATCGGGGACGGGACCTGCCGGGCAGCCTTATCGCTTTCGGAGTTCGGACACGCCGCTCCGTTTCAGCTCCAGTACAATGAGAGATGCATGCGATGCGACTCTAGGCCCGGTTTTCTGGAAATTATCAGCCTGCTTATCACCCCATGATCGACAAGATTTAGCAGCACAGTACCTATACTTCTCATTGGGTACGGCCTTCTGTTTTAATGATGTTTGTTGGATCGTACGGAGTAGTTTGGACGGACCAACGAGTAGACATGAACATCGACATTACTGGCGTTTGGATCAGGAACTACCTGTCACATCGAGCATTCGGATACTAATTAAGAAGACTCCTAGTATTTGGATTCCGTGACTAAAATTTAGGAGGTATGTCGGAAGGATGTTGCATGGGGTATTCGGATACTAATAAAAAAATAAATTACATAATCCAACTCCACGAGATGAATTTTTAAGCTAAGTAATCCGTCATTACCACATGTTTACTGTAGCAAAACATTGTCAAATCATAGACTAATTAGGCTTAAAAGATTCGTCTCGTAAATTAGTCGCAAACTATGCAATTAGTTTCGTAATTAGTCTATATTTAATACTCTATGCATGTGTCCAAACATTCGATGGGACAACGACTAAAATTTAGGAGGGGCAACCAAACACCCCCTAAACATAAGCCTGGGGTGTTTAGTTTCCCGGACTAATTTTTAGTCCATGTCACGTCGGATGTTTGGACACTAATTTGAAATATTAATCATAGACTAATTGTAAAACTAATTGCTCAGATGGAGACTAATTTACGAGATGAATTTATCAAGCCTAACTAGCCTATGATTTGATAACGTGGTGCTACAGTAAACATGCGCTAATGATAGATTAATTAGGCTTAATATATTTGTCTAGCAAATTAGTCTCCATCTGTGCAATTAGTTTAGTAATTAGCTCATATTTAGACGTCTTGATTAGCATTCAAACGTTCGATGTGACAGGGACTAAACTTTAGTCCATCACCGATGAAATGATTTCTCTAGTAAGGGGGTAAAGTCCGATGTTACTTTTCATTATCTATAAAACAAGTGACCCTATTAAGTGCTTCAACATAGATGCGGCGGAAGAGGAACAAGGGATGTCACCCCTAATGTTTGCTAATGCATTTGAGGATGAAGGACCGAGAAAGACGACCAGAGGGAGGGTGAATGAGAGTCGATTCCAATTTTCTTCTGAATGCGGCCGTTGTCCTAGATTCAACCCCAAAGTACAAAAACTGCATGAGAAGCTAACTCTAGCCAACTATTGACTCAATGAACTCAAGACACCAGAAGGAACATAATGGAGCACAACGGAACTGAGCCGGGCAAAAACCAGCCAAGACTGCAACCGTTCACATCGGACTTGTCCGGTAAGCTTCTCAAGTCAGCCCTCAGAGCTGCGCAGAAACCTCCTCACACTAGACTTGTCCGGTGTGGCGACCAGACCTGTCCAGTTTGCTCGAACAGAGGCCAGCAAAAATCGATTCAAAAACCGAAACTCGACTAAAACAACTCGGATCGATCTGAACCTTTGCAGGGATGTTCTTGAGAGTGTTGAGAGGATATATCCTTAGAGCATTAACACACGGAACTCATCAAATCACTCATGCTCTCAAAAATCATCAAAGAGATTGGGGTTTTCTCAAAAACCTCCCCAAGGGTGGATTTTTGTGCTCGTGATGAATATGCCCAAATTACTTGGTAGATAAGTACATCAGAGGTCCTAGCACATATCCAAACTCCTCAAACAACCCCAAATTCGTTGGAACACCAAATCCATCAAAACTCGCAAGAGAAGGGGAAGGGAAGAGGAAAAACGCAAACGATTCAAACACAAGATCTTGCCACACGAATTGAGAGGAAAGGATTTCTTTATTGCCAAGATCAACAATGTCTAGTCTTACACACAGACAGTGGTTTCAATCACTCATCTGAAGGGTCTCTCTCAATATAGACTTAGGCTAGGCACACATCATTACATCAACCATGTATTCACAGAGGACAATCTCTCATTGTTACACTAATCCTTTTTGTTGCACTGATGTTGGAGGTTGATTGTTAGCAGTTTTTTTTTCTAAGTATACAAAACTTAAGGCAGGGTTGCTCCCCTTTCCTATTCAGCATGTTCGTGTAATGGAATATTATACCTCTTGTCATCTTTTTTTCTAAAATGGAACCATATAGGTCTTCGTTGTTTTGTTATTGTCTTTGTTGATTAAATTCCTAGCTTAACACCTGCTTGAACATTGTGGAAAGTGTTGGCCTATTGGGATTTCACCTCTCATGATTTAAGGCACTAGAGTTTTGTTATGGTTTATTTACGGATTCTAATAGTATGTATTATGTTATTATTATAATAACTAATCAGCCCGGTTTATCAGCTATGGTATAGTGTTTTTCTTTCACAATAAAATAGCATCAGCCGGTTTATCAGCCGTAAAAATCATCAGCTGAACAACTATTTAAGTTTTTCTTTTTAATATAGTTATTATAGGAAACTTCCATACACCTAATAGAAAAACATGGACAGAATTATATTTTAAAAAAGAATACTGACAGATAAGGTGGTGGGACCACCGTAGAGAGGACGACGCCAAAGGCCAAGCTCAGGTTTCCCTTGCTGTCGACGTCACCATGGTCAGGCGTCACTCGACGACGTATACAGAGGGCTCAGGTTTTCCTTCAACTTGCGCCGAAACACCTCAGATTTCTTGTAATTTATTATTTACTCGAAAAGCTGAGGACCCATCTATTCTAGGGGCACATGCAACAGTAAGAGGCCGCTACTAACTCTAAACCGACTTTTCTAATAGTATTAGCTTCTGCCAATAATTTATAGTATGATTAGGTCCACTAACATTTCCTTACAATATATACGCATGATTCTAGCGCTTAAGAACCAGTTTTTCTTTCTCTTTTATTAAAATATGAAAAAAGAAATTCTTAGAGCTATCTGAAGAATCATCATTGCGGCTGCCCTAATAATCCAAGCGGGTGACCTGTGAATGGGGACGCAGCAAATCCAGCAGTCCCCTCTCTTCTCCTTCCTCGATCCTCGTCGTCTTCTTCGATCCACTCCTTTTCCCCTCCCCACCTCCCTACTTTCCACGCAACTGCGTGCCCTCCGGACTCTTCTTCCACGATTCCATTTGACCCTACCGCTCCTCAGCCAGTCCTCGCCCCTCCCAGGTCGTCCGTCGACGCACCAAACAATCCCTCACGTCCTTACTCCCCGCCGCTACCATGCTGCCCACTTGGATCCGTTCTCTACTTGTCTGAGATTTAGCCGCCGCCCGGTAGGAAGAAGAAAACTCCATATTTGTTGTTTCTGGCCTGGCGCAGCGCCGGTGAGATCCAGTCCGGAATCGGCAACGCTGGGAAGGAATCGGGTGAGATTTACGGCGAGTTCTGTGCCGCTCTAGGAAGGGTCACGTCGAGGAGGCTTTTGCCGACGCGGATCTGCCTGGAGCCAGCCAAGCGGAGCACCGATTTGGGGTGTTTGGCCGTGCGAGGCCAAAAAGCTCTCGGTTTGGCTGCCGAAACCGCCTGACGCGACCACCATCACATGGTCGTAGTGGTCGGGTCCGGCACAAGTAGGGGCTCGCGTCTTGTGCTTGCCAGTTGTGGGACTCGTGGGAAGCCATGGAGCCGTCGTCGTCCATCACGTTTGCGTCGTCGTCGTCGTACCTGTCCAACGGCTCCAGCCCCTGTTCCGTCGCGATGCCGCCGCCGGGGCTGCCCCAGGCTCCCCCCTTGGCTGCTGGCGAGGGGTGGGGTGGTGGAGTCGCTGCCGCAGGGAGCGGAAGCAGCGTGGAGGCGGTGAGCCTGAACCGCCTCAGCAAGAACCTCGAGCGGCTGCTCCTCGACCCGGACCTAGACTGCAGCGACGCCGACGTCGAGGTGCCCGACGGCGGGCCGCCCGTACCCATCCACCGCTGCATACTTGCCGCCCGCAGCGACTTCTTCTACGACCTCTTCGCCGCGCGCGGCCGCGGTGGGGCAGCGCGCGGTGATCCGACCGCCGGCGCCGGAGGAGCAGCGGAGGGGGCTGCCAGTGGAAGGCCGCGGTACAAGATGGAGGAGCTCGTCCCCGGGGGTCGCGTGGGGCGCGAGGCCTTCCAGGCGTTTCTGGGGTACATGTACACCGGCAAGCTCCGGCCGTCACCGGTCGACGTGGTCTCTTGTGCTGACCCAGTGTGCCCTCACGATTCGTGCCCGCCGGCCATCAGGTCCGCGGTCGAGCTCATGTACGCGGCGTGTACCTTCAAGATCCCCGAGCTCACCTCGCTCTTCCAGGTGAGACGCAATTTGGTTCTTGCTTCCTCTCTTGCCAATAGGATTAGACTCCAATTTGTTTAGGAAATGTTTTGTTGTATCCCAGTATTGTACATGGCTTTGCTAGACTAGAAATGGGTTCGTGATTTTGTTTTCTCAAATCCGTGTGTTGACTACATCGCTAACTAACTAAACTGCTAAAATTGGGTATTTCTTGTTTTAGCTGACACAACTGAACCTGTCGTCTTGAAGTCTATAATTGAAATGGAACCATTAGGCTGCACAACATGTATACATTACATTTATGGCTGTGTAGTTTGTCAAACTGTTTTAACATCAATTCAGCTTTGCTGTGACGACTTAAGGAATGCAAATGGTTAACATGGTCTTCTTCTACAGCGGCGGCTTCTTAACTTTGTAGACAAGACTCTAGTGGAGGATGTCATTCCTATTTTGAAAGTTGCTTCCCACTCAGGGCTGACTCAAGTGATTGACAAATGTATTCAAAGGATTGCTAGATCAGATTTTGACGATATATCTTTGGATAAGGAGCTCCCTCCTGAAGCTGTTGAGGAGATAAAAATTTATGCAAGAAGTCACCAACCGCTGATGGCAATGGCGATGCGCGCTCATTTCGGACCCTGTGCATGAGAAAAGAGTCAGAAGAATCCACAGGGCACTCGACTCTGATGATGTTGAACTTGTGAAGTTGCTTCTGAGTGAGTCTGATATCACATTAGATGATGCCAATGCATTACACTATGCTGCTTCTTACTGTGATTCTAAAGTTGTCTCAGAGCTATTAGATTTGGCGCTGGCTAACTTAAATTTGAAGAATAGCCGTGGATACACAGCACTCCACTTGGCTGCTATGAGGAGAGAACCAGCTATCATTATGTGTCTCCTTAACAAAGGGGCAAATGTATCACAACTGACAGCTGATGGCAGGAGCGCAATTGGTATTTGTCGGAGGTTAACAAGATTAAAAGACTACAATACAAAGATGGAGCAGGGTCAAGAATCAAATAAAGATAGGCTGTGTATAGATATTCTAGAGAGGGAGATGATGCGAAATCCTATGGCGGTGGAAGATGCTGTCACCTCGCCTTTATTGGCAGATGATCTTCACATGAAGCTTCTCTACCTGGAAAACAGAGGTGAAGTCCACACCATGCTTGATAGAATGGCTCTGATTGGTTGCCCGTTGCCCCTTCAAATTTTCAAAATTTAAAAGCTGGGAGGTCAGGTGGATTGATTCAGGCTTCCTTGTAGTCTAATGACATGTGCCCTGACCTTTTGTTCTCATAAAGAGGAAAAGGAAAACACCCACCACATACCACATCAATTTCTCCTTTCTTCAAATTGAAGAAAGTTGCGCATGTTATAGGAAATAAACAATTGTAGTCACAAAGCCTGCAATATTCATTGCTACTTGCCTGTAGCTTTGCACACAGCCTGATAGTGGTCTAGTTCTAGATAATATAATGAGAATGATTTCACACCATTGGATGATGATTAAATAGCACCTTAGAACTTGGGGTGTGATATGTCATTGTCGTTAGCTTTGTCTTATATTCACGTTTAGAAGAAGATTGTGCTTTATGTTATTGGCTACATTATTTCCCTGCATCATAACATTTAAGTATTGTCCCTGCAGTTGCATTTGCTAGATTGTTCTTTCCTGCTGAAGCCAAGGTCGCCATGCAAATTGCACAAGCAGACACCACAGAAGAATTCGGCGGTATAGTTGCAGCAAGTACTTCTGGTAAACTGAGGGAGGTCGACCTTAATGAGACGCCAGTCACACAAAACAAAAGACTCCGTTCAAGGGTAGATGCACTGATGAAAACAGGTGAAGTTTCAACCGTCAACCTTTCCATTTTACTGAACATGCTCTGCAGCTATCGCCTGAAAATTTAGTTCCAGTGCAACCACGGATTCTTTTTACTGAACATGCTCTGCAGCTGTCGCCTGAAAATTTAGTTCCAGTGCAACCATGGATTCTACATATACCGAAGTATTGTCGTTGTGTTTAAAATACATGATTGATATGATATCTCATCATCTGTTGTTCACCCATTTTATCTGGTGGCTTCTTGCAGTGGAGCTGGGCCGTCGGTACTTCCCAAACTGCTCGCAGGTGCTGGACAAATTCCTGGAGGACGACCTGCCGGACGGGCTGGACCAGTTCTACCTCCAGAGGGGCACCGCCGACGAGCAGAAGGTGAAGAGGATGCGCTTCTGCGAGCTGAAGGAGGACGTGCTGAAGGCTTTTAGCAAGGACAAGGCGGACAGCAGCATGTTCTCGGCCTGTCTTCGTCGTCGTCGTGCTCGCCACCCCAGAAATCCGCCAAGAGGTGATCAAGGGACTAGTTTTTGCCGAATACTTGTTTGTAATCACGGTCTTGGAGACCTGGACCCGGACAGCATATAGGGACTTCTACACCTGTGTATGTATAGTGCTTATTATACATATATTAGGATAGAACTATATATGGAAAGAAACATGGCAGTTACACCGTGCAAAAAGATGAAAAGGTGGCCGTAGTGCTCTATGCGAGTATGCACCTGATTCGATGGCCCTGTTCTACGGTAGCGAGCACGCTGAGCAGGCTCATTGCCCTGTGAGCATGCTACTGAAGTTGTTGAGGCTGTTTTCCGCAGAAAAAAAGTGAGAAACTAGAAGAAAACGAGGTCGTTGAGGATGTGCATGGATCTGATGTACTGTATGTAGTTCTTTACAATCTTCGATCCTATTATATGTATAAGCTTATTTAGGTTTGTTGTAAGGCAAAGTTTTTTTTTCTGGACTAGTAAAAAGAAGAGATTTGGTTCTAAGTGATTCTTTGTGAAACGTTTCTCTCTTTGTGGCGTTTGCTTATGATTCCAGTGATTCTAGACCTTGTTTAAATTCAGGGTGTAAAGTTTTGGGGTGTCATATCGGGTGTCACATGGGGCGTCGCATGGGGTATTCGGATACTAATAAAAAAATAAATTACAGAAACCGCGAGATAAATTTATTAAGTCTAATTAACCGTCATTAGTACATGTGTTAATGTAGCACTATATTGTCAAAATCATGAACTAATTAGGCTTAAAAGATTCGTCTCGCAAATTTGTCGCAAACTGTACAATTAGTTATTTTTTACTCAATATTTAATGCTCCATACATATGTCCAAACATTCGATGGGATATGGTGTAAACTTTTGGGGAGGAACTAAACAAGGCCTAAGGCTGTCTTCAATGGGAGACCCATTGTGAAACCTAAACCCAAAATTGTCTCCAACACAATACTTATAGCCTCCAATAGAGTACCTATATGGAAGACCTATTTTAGGTGTCAGGAGATGCATAACCCAAATCTGAGTATCATCTCTCCTAGAGATCTAGGCCTTGTTCGTTGGGAGGAATTTTGATAAATCTGGAGGAATTTGTGAGAGCGTGGACAGTGATTTTCAGTCGTGAACAGTGGATTCCGGCTGGTTTTTCAACCAGCCGAACGACGCCCTATTTACAGAAAGAGTTATCTTTTGGGTCTTATTGTTAAAGAAGACAAAAAATATGTATCAAACCATTTACCCGTAGTGCTATCCAAATAATGAACGGGTCTTATATTTTGGATCGCGATTGTTGATACCGTCTAAGAATCTAAAATATTCTCGCTGCCAAACGCATCCCAAGTCTCGTCGGTCATGAGCAATGTAACATACTAGAATAAGAGGTGCTAATGGTTGAAATGTCACCTTGAAACTTGAATACCATAATCGGTCAAACAGTTGTCAACGTTCATACATTCTGTTGTAAAAAAAAATGTTCATACATTCTTATAAAGGATACTCCATCCGTCCTAAAATATACATATAGTTTGATTTGGTTTGGTCATCAAGATTCTTTGATCACTAATATCTCTTACAATTTATTTTTTTAGTAACAAAGTTTAATCATTTAAAAGTATTTTAAAATACGAAACTGATGTAACCACTTTCTAAATATAAATTTATCATATGATTAGACTAACCGCTGGTCAAAATAATAAAGGTTAAATTTTAAAATACATGCACACCTTATATTTTAGGGCAGAGATAGGAAGAATTAACATTATAAAGTGCTTAGAAATATGAGTCTCTTAGTATCACTTAATTTTAAAATGCATGCCCACCGCATATTTCAGGATTATGATTAAATTTACCTTCTTAAAAAGTGAGATGTGCATTATTTTTAGATCATCTTCAAGAGAATGTAATCCTTGGTTTAGATTAAGTTAAACTTTTTTAAAGATTGACTAGGTTTATAATTTTTAATATTTATATCTTTGAACATATTATTGTGAAAATGTAAATCATTAGTAATCTAATAATACTTTTAGGATTGGTAAATACTCCCTTTAGGTTGCTAAAAGAAGTCGTTTTGGGAAAGGTTTGGAGTCAAACATTGGAAATATAAATCAAGAATATCTTTTAAGTTGTTAAGTTTGGAAATGTGAAAACCATATGAATATATTTATCTTGAAAAATACTTTCATAAAAATATACATATATCATTTTTCAATAAATATTTTTTATAAAAATAAGAACTTAAAGTTATGTTTTGTAGACCATGTGCAAAACTACTTCTTTTAGCAACACAGAGGGAGTGCATTAATATGTTTTATAATCTAATTAAATAGAGACTGGTTCCATAGAAAAATGAGAATTATATTTTTTTCGGAGGGACCAGTAACTGACTGCCTGAGCGACGCGGCTGCCCAAGTCAACCCTGCCAGCCGACCAGCTTCGCCTTGCCTAGCGGCGCCGAATCACACATGCCGCCCACCGGCCACCGCCCAGGCCCCACGGCCCGCCAAAGAAAGAAAAAAAAGCTACACTGCGCGCGCTCGCAGACCCCACGCGGCACGGCGTTGGACGCGCCTGGTCTGCGTGCCTCGTACGACCCGCGGCCGGTGATTGCGGACCCCCGTGCGTCCGTGCGCGACGAGTGACGACGACTGACTATTCTTTGCGGGCAACGGGCCGGCACGGTCAGGCACGGCACGACCCCGCAGGGCCCGGCGTGCCGACAAGCCCGCCCTGGGTTCGTGCCTGGCTGATGGCCCAGACACGACTTGTTGGGCCACTTTTTGTGCTGGGCTAGCTCGATGAGTACAACCATTTTTGCAGGCTAGACCGGCCTGAGGCCCACTAAAAGAAAGAGAGAGACCGAGAATGAAGGGAGGCCGCGAGTCGGGAGGAGGCGGAAGGGGCTAGCGCCTGCGGTGCGGCTACGCGGGGACGTGGAGGAGGGGGTGGCCGGTAGCCGCACTCGCCACTGTCGCCGCTGCTCGAGGCCGGCCGCCGCGCAGGGGGCCGTGCCGTCATGGTCGCGTGGAGGAGGGGAGGGGGAGGAGTCACACTCTGCAGGGGGTTGTGCGGTGCGCGGTGTAGGGGGGTTGGGGAAGGAGTCGCGCAGGGGCGCTGTGCGGTTGAAAGGTCCTACTATGGCTAGAGGGGGTGAATAGCCTATTTAAAAATCTACAACCAACTAAAACAATTTGATTGGTATAACAAATAGCGAAATACAAATTTGCTCTAGCTCTACAAAGGTTGTAAGCCACCTATCCAACAATTCTAGTTGCTATGATCACTAAATAACATAATTTGTTATATCACTACTTACTAAGAGCTCTCACACTTACTACACTAAAGAGCTCCACTAGATGAACTTAAACTACAAAGCAAGCTCTCAATTTTAGCTACCTAAAGAGCTTGCTATAACTAGTTTGCAAGAATATAAATGAGTGAGTAGGGTGATTATATCGTCGTGTAGAGGAGTGAACCAATAACAAGATGAATACTAAATCAATCACCGGGAGTATACCAAAAGACAAGAGACAACCAATTTTTCTCCGGAGGTTCACGTGCTTGCCGACACGCTAGTCCCCGTTGTGTCGACCAACACTTGGTGGTTCGACGGCTAAGAGGTGTTGCACGAACCTCGTCCATACAATTGGACACCGCAAGAATCTACTCACAAGTGAGGTAACTCAAAGACACGAGCAATCCATTAGAGTTACCTTTCCGCGCTCCGCTGAAAAAGGCACAAGACCCCTCACAATCACCACAATTAGAGCCGGAGATAATCACCAACCTTCGCTCGACGATCCTCGCTGCTTCAAGCCGTCTAGCTGGCGGCAACCACCAAGAGAAACAAGTGAATCTCACAGCAAAACATGAATACCAAGTGCCTCTAGATGCAATTACTCAAGCAATACACTTGGATTCTCTCTCAATCTCACAATGATGATGGTTCAATGATGGAGATGAGTGGGAGAGCTTTGGCTAAGCTCACAAGGTTGCTATGTCAATGCAAATGGCCAAGAGAGTGAGCTTGAGCCGGACATGTGGCTTAAATAGAAGCCCCTATGAAATAGAGCCGTTGGCTCCTCACCCATCGAAAACGGGCGCACCGAACGCCGGTCAGATCGATCGGATGTTGGACCCCAAAGATCCGGTCGCGCGATGCGCGCGCCACGCGGGCCCCTGTTTCAAACGTTGATCGCTTCGATCTCAATGGTCATCAAGACATTTTTAAGTTGTGACCGGACGCTACCGCTTCAAGTGACGGGGACATAGGACCCCAGCGTCCGGTTGTTTCTAGTAAGATTCCATTCGCGACCGAACACGTCCGGTCCCGTCCGACCTGACTCACCCAGCGTCCGGTCACTCACCGTCTCCTCTGTGCGCCGCCACGTCAGCGTACGTCATCACTGACCAACGCAGGCCTTGAGCGTCCGGTCACACTTCGCGCCAGCGTCCGGTCCAAAGATCGAGGCTGCAAGGCCATCCCTCGATCGACCGACGATGACCTTTAGTGGCCGGTCATCGCGTGACCAAACATCCGTGCACTCTCGTGAAACCGTGTCTTTTTCAGACAGTATACTGGTGGCAGCGCAGTGCACACTCCACCGGTGGAGTTTCGAACCCTTGCTCTCAAGTGCTAAACACAATGTGTATCACCTTTGTGCATGTGTGTTAGCATATTTTCACAAACATTTTAAGGGTGTTAGCACTCCACTAAATCCTAAATGCATATGCAATGAGTTAGAGCATCTAGTGGCACTTTGATAACTGCATTTTGATATGAATTTCACCCCTCTTAATAGTACGGCTATCGATCCTAAATGTGATCACACTCGCTAAGTGTCTTGATCACCGAAACGAAAAGGCTCCTACCACTTATACCTTTGTCTTGAGCCTTTTGTTTTCCTTTCTACTTTTTCAAGTCCAAGCACTTGATCATCACCATGGAATTACCATCATCATGTCATGATCTTCATTTGCTTCACCACTTGGAATAGTGCTGCCTATCTCATAATCACTTTGATAAACTAGGTTAACACTTAGGGTTTCATCAATTAAACAAAACCAAACTAGAACTTTCAATCTCCCCTTTTTGGT